GATAGACCGCATAGACTCCGTGGACCAGAATAAATCAGTTGTTTTATTTCCCCTCAAAAGATATGACCTTCCACTCCCCAAACGGCTTTGACAGTTTTCTCATTTGCTAGCTGAGGAGGATATCAAGAGACACTGACCTTCTGGTTTTGCCTAAAGAGAGAACATTCAGTAACTATTATGCTTCAGTCTCTGATTTGCTTCCTCTGGGCCCTTCCTCCCTCCTCCCCCATGTCCTCACCTACCTTTCACCTTCCTTCATGAACATTCTGCTCACCTGCAGTGCACTGCTACTCCCCCCTCAGCCCTCCTGCTCTGGGGTGAAGACGGTGTAGGCACATCTGCCTTCAACCCCACAGCACTCCCTGCATGCAAGAGAAAGTGCAGGGCTTCTAGGAGTGTTTGCTCCCTATTTAATCAGATTAGTCCCATCACCTACCCTGAGGAGCCTGATTTGGGTGTTACTGAGCTATCTGTGGAGGGAGGAGAAATTGTCAGACATCATTTAAACAGCCCTGTCCCTTGGACGCCTGGGAACTGCCGAGAGAAATTAATCTTCCAGCTATTTAAGGCAATTTCTTTTCCATCATCCTTTGTCAAGAGGACTGTACTGGGAAATGAATCTGATGGGAGTCCCTGAACTGGTACACTCCACTCAACAGCATCTCTCCAATGCTGTGCCGCATCCGTCATCTCCACGCCAGCGGAGACGCCCGCACTGCTGCAGAGCCAACTCCCCACCATGACGGCAGCAAGAAATCACAAACACACAGGGTGGAGGCCACCGGCCTGGAGACTGGGGTGTTCCTCTACCTTGGCTCTATTTTCTTTTTAGAAAGCCTGCCATGGATTGATCTCTTTCATTTAATGTCTTTTTAAAAAAAAAAAAAAAAAGAGAGATTTTTTGCTATAGGGAGTGTGCGCTCGGCAGAGACAGAAAGTGAGAACTCACCCCCCAGAGGGGATGGCCATGCCGCAATTCCCTCTTGGTTCTCCCTTCTCCTCGGTGCTCCTTTCAGGATTTTGGGCACACACACACAAGCACTCGGCATGAGTTTTAAGCTGCTGGGTCTGGGACAAACCATGGTCATGGGAGTCCAGCGACGTAGCCGTTATGCCATCTGCTAGTCCTCATTAAATGTCTTTTATCCAAGGCCCAGGAAGGCAGAGAAGTAGGGGTATGCCAAAACAGAATGTGACTGTAGGTTATGTATGCATTTCCCCTAAACATAAAGACTCCGCTTGTTTCTACAATTTGGATAAATTCAGGGTCTTGGATTTGGCAGAACAAGTTTGAGTCTGAGAACTAGAGCATGAGTCATCTCCGATAATCCTTAAATGACCTGCAAGTTGAGCAAAGAGAAAAAGGAATGACATTTACGGTTGTTGGATACTGAGACTCTTAGAAGGATTTCTAAGATACATTATGATTGGTCCTGTTTTATATTTTGTGATTTTTAAAAAAATTTTATTTTATTTAACCTTATTTATTATTTTCCAGTTTGATCAGAGAGAGACAGAGAGAGAAAGTGAGAAAGAGGAACCAGAAGGTGGCCTGGTGGTTAAGGTGCTGGACACTCCCACATGGCAGACCATGGTTCAAGTCCTAGACCTGGTGGTTTGTTTTCTCACTTTCTCTGTGTGTGTGTGTGTGTGTTTCTCTCTCTGGTCAAATTAAAATAAATGAATGAATAAATAAAATTAAATAAGTAATTATTAAAAAAAAAAAAGTGAGAAAGCAAGCCACCAGATCTGGGACTTGAACCATGGTCAGCCATGTGGGAGTCCAGTGCTTTAACCACCATGCCACCTGCCCACACCTATTTCATTGTTTTTAAAAATATAGTATAAAAAAATAGCCTTCACCTGTGCAGAATAAGTTTTTATGTCAATAGGCAGGAGACAGAAAGGGCAACGGCTTGTACTGTTTCAAGATCATCTCTTCTCTCCACACCTCTAGATTTAATTTTCTATTTATGGACTGATCTATATGCTCTCTGGGGTTATGGAAGGAACTGGAATTGTAATCTTCAATTCTAATTTCATGACTTTCTTTTTTTTTTTTGAGAGTTTCTTTTTGCTATAGGGCATGTGCACTTGCCAGAAAGAGAGAGAGACAGAGAGACAGAAATCACCCCCCAGGGGGCATGGCCATGCCACAATTCCTTCTCCTCCATTCTCCTCTCAGGATCTTGGGCACGCACACACATGCTCCCGGCATGAGCTTAAGCCACCAGGTCTGAGACTCAAATTGCAGATGACTACGTGGGAGTCCAGCAACATAACCATTATGCCAACTGCTGGTCCCTCATAACCTTTTATTATTATTATTATTTTTTCTAGGCTAGTCATGGGGTCCACAGGTGATATAGAGGTTGAGGCACTGGATCCCACATGACCAGCTCCATGGTTTGAAGTCCCAGACCTAGAGGCTTGAAAGCCAGACTGGGTGCATGTGTGTGCGTGCCCAAAATCCCAAGAAGAGAATGAAGGAAAAGGATTGTGGCGTGGCTATCCCCCTGGGGTGATTTCTCACTTTCCCTCTCTCTCTGGCAAGCAGATGCACCCTATAGCAAAAACTAAAACAAACATTTTAAAAGCTATTAATTTATTCATGAGAGCAAGTGGCACCCCTAACAAGGTCCTCATGTGGTGATCTACCCCCAATCTCAGCCGGCATGGATCACGAGCATGTACATAACCATGCTCGGGGAGGTCCTGGGACACGAACCCAGGACCTTTCCCAAGTGGTTCCTGCTGTGCCATCGCTGTGCCACCACTATACCACCTAGCCCCTTCAACTCTCATTCTACACTCGAGGCCATTTCCCAGGACAGTGGTTTTCCCTGTGTTCCCTCAGGTTCCAAAAAGTACCCTCAGTGGGTATGTGTGTGTGTGAGGGAAACAAGGATGTTTAGAGAAGTGGCTGGAAGGGGAAAACTCTACTGTTGAAGCTCTAGAGCCCTCAACTCTGCCTTAACCTCTAATTTGATTTCTTTCACATACTGGAATTTCTCCCAAGAGCTTGTGTTTTCAAAAAGTTAGAATTTTTTAAGAGCTGCAACCCAGTGTCCTAAATGAGAGGGGACTACACTGTGCTGCTCACACGGCTAACCATTTACCAGTGGTCTGACCTGCATAGAGAGGATATAGCCTGGCTGCTGCCTTTTTCAACCGTAGGCTAAGTCTGGGTTCACCTAACAGCTTCCTGACTCCAGGGGCTCCTGAAACACTTTTCAGCAAAATGAATCTTTGTAGGCATGAGAGTCATTTGTTTTCTAAACTCCCTTCTCCGATCTCACTAATTCCCAATTTCCTTGCATTTGACAAATGCAATTAACAAGCCTCGATCAGTTCCTGGCTGACAGCCCTCATCAATCAATAAATACAAAGACTGCAAGGCTGAGGGGAAGGGAAGGTACAGAAGGAAGGTAGCCACAGTGCAGGGGAGCAGGGGAGGAGGCCTGCTCCCTTCGTTTCTATGAAAGACCCCTCACGACCTCTCCATCTGAAGACGTGGATTACTATATTCACCAACCACTTTTTTCTTCCTGGCTAACTAAGTATAAGATGATAGTATCGGAATCTTTTTCTTCTCCCCTCCCTGCCTTTAAAAAAAAAGATTTATTTATTTAATTCCATTTGTTATGTTATGGTTATAATTATTATTTTTTTAAGGTTTTTGCTATAGGGTGCATGCGCTTGCCAGAAAGACAAGAGACAGAGAAACAGAAAGCGAGAAATTCCCCCAATGGGGATGGCCACGCTGCAACCCCTTCTCCTCCATTCTCTTCTCGGGATCTTGGGCACGCACACACACGTACGCAGCGTGAGTTTAAGCTGCCGGGTCCAGAACTCAAACCACAGTTGACTACATGGGAGTCCAGGGACATAGCCATTATGCTAACTGCTGGTCCCATGTTATGATTATTTTTTAATTTGATCAGACAGAGAAAGAGAGGGGTGGGGGAAGTGAGAAAGCAAGCCATCATGTCCGGGACTTGAACCACGGTCAGGCATGTGGGAATCCAGCTCCTTTAACCACCACACTACCTGCCAGCCTCTCATCCCTGCCTTTTTAAAAAATATATATATATTTCTTCCATAAGCAAGAGACAGAGACAGCACCCACAACAGGATCCCAATGCTGCGATCCACCCAGCCTCAGCCGGCCCCCAAAGACGGCATGCGTGTACCTAGCGTAGTCAGGGAGGTCTCCAGATGTGAACTTGGAACCTTCCCACGTGGGTCAGCCTCCCAGTACAGAGCATTTTACCACTGCACCACTGTCAAGTCCTCCTCTCCCATTTTTTTGAAAGTTTTTCCCATCAACCTCCTTTATTTTCCCATCTTCTAACAGAAGGCCTTGCCATCTGCTACACCATAGCTTGGGAACCCCCTCAGTGCCGGGCGTGATAAATCAGCCATCCCTCTGCTTCCAGCAGGGCCTCTTTCCTACCCACACATTCCAATGACAGTTTTGTGCTGCTTCTCGCCTATAGGGCTACAAGCCGACCATCACCCACCTCCCCACGGCACACGAAACGACCAGGACAAGGACCATGAAGCTTAGGGTCACTGCTGCTCTCACATTCACATTGTCCTCTTTCCTAGGGTCCAAGTGCTCCCTTCCCAATGAGTTTGATTCCAGATTCAGCCTCCTCACCCTCTGCTCTGCATGTAGCATCAAGCTCCCCTCCCCCACCAGAGCGAGAGCTTTTTTCTCTGCGGCCCTGCCTGGTACAGCCCCGTGCATCTTTCCACCTCATCAACTTTTCATCTCTTCGCAAACTGAATCGGGAAGTCTCCCTCCTCCCTGCCTCGCTCCCTTCTCCTTTGTTATTAGCTTCATGAGTGGGGACGTTAATGTATTCACTAGACGATGTCTTCACACCACTGTTTCCTGTAATTACAGTCACTTCCCTCCCACTGTCCTAGCTTATTTGACTGTAAAGTGCTTGGAGGAGGGACAGTGTGGATAAAAGACACGACACAGTCCGAGGTCGAACAGTGAGTAGTGTAATGTTAACGTCCAAGAAAGTAAAGCGAATAGTCACCGCTGCAGCTCAGTAACAACTGGGAACACAGAGGCCATGTTCCAGATCTTACAAAAAGTACCAATACGATAGGTGACCCCACCAACACAGGATGGGGTGCTATATCCACATTACAGTGACATCCACCCTCCTTCAGGGGGTATATCTGCTATACTTGTCATGTAGGTCAGCGACATTGTCGCTGGAGACTCGGATCCAGCCGTCTTCCCGCACATGGTAGAGGTTGACAGCACCTCCCGAGTAAGCATCTCTGTAGGTGGCTTGGTAGATGGCTCGACGTGCCAGATCATAGGCCTGCTCCACTTCCAGGTCATAGGAATAGCCCCGATCCATGACTCCATAAGCATACACAGAACCCGAACCCACAGAGAAGGTGGCCCCCGAGATACGGTTCCCTTCACTATCCACATAGTAGAGGCCTGAAAAAAAGGAGATGAAGTTAGTAGGACAAAAACGACTATTGCTTTTGACAATTAATTCATCTTCTAAGGCAGTATTTCTCCACCCTTCTTTAAACACAGGCAACACCAACAAAAATATAAGAGGGGCCAGCAGGTTGTATGGTGGTTAAGGCGCTGGAATCCCTCCTACATAGCTGGGAGTCCTGGATTGGGCAGCTTGAAAAATCATGCTGGGTACATGTACATGCATGCCCAAAATCCTAGCAGGAAAATGGAAAAGGGAAGGCAGCACAGCCATCCCCCTTGGGATTTCTCACTTTCCCTCTCTCTGTATTTCTCCAATGAGTGCACACACCCTAAAGGAAAAACCTTAAAAAAAAAGTAACAAAAAAGCCAATTGGGGGACCAGCAGATGGCATAATGGTTATGTCACTGGGCTACCATGTGGTCCACCATAGTTCAAATTCCAGACTGGGAGGCTTAAAATTGTGCCAGGTGTGCGTGCGTGCGTTTGTGTGCCTCTGAGAGGTGAATGGAGGAGAAGGGATTGTGACCATCTCCCCTGGGAGGTGACTTCTTGCTTTCTGTCTTTCCGTCTCTCTCTCTCTCCCAAAAAGAGGGGGAGGGCGGTTGGTGACGAGGTAGTTAGGGAGGATGGATCCCATATGGCTGACCATGCAGTTTGAGTCTTGGACCCAGTGGCTTGAAAACACAGCATTTTTTGAGAGGAAATGAAGAAGGGATTATGATGTGGACATCCTTACTGTCTATCCCTCTCTTTTTGTGTCTCTCTTTGGTGAGTGCACAAGCCTCAGAGCAAAATTTTAAAAAGAAAATAAAATTTGTATAAAATTACCTAAAAAAAACTGAAGGAATCAAATTTAACATTGAGACTACCCCATCTCAACTCACATTATAGTAACTACTCTACCTGTCCTTTTTTTTTTTTGGAGAGGTTTTTACTATAGGACGTGTGCACTTGCCAGAAAGACAGAGACAGACAGAGACAGAAAGCGAGAAATAACCCCCCAGGGGGATGGTCATGCCGCAATCCCCTCTCCTCCATTCTCCTCTCGGGATCTTGGGCACGCACACACACGCGCCCGTCGTGAGTTTAAGCCACTGGGTCTGGGACTCGAACTGCAGTCGACTACGTGGGAGTCCAGCAACATAGCCATTATGCCAATTGCTGGTCTCATCTGTCTGTCCTTTTAGCATCCAAAATGCAAGTATAATCCAAATGACTTAGGCTTCTTTAAAAAATTTTTTTGTCACAGGGCACTAATTTTTAAAATAATTATTTAATTTTATTTATTAATTTGACCAGAGAGAGTGAGGCAAAGTAAAAAAGCAAGGTGCCAGGTATGGGATTCAAACTGCAGTTGGTGGGATTCTAGTGTATTAACCACCACGCCACCTGCAGGCCCCAGTACTAATTTAACTTTTGCCACAAGGTTCACCAGAGAAACAGAAGGAAACTGAGAAAGCACCTCCAGGGGGATGGCCACACTGCAATCACTTCTCTACTTTCCTCTTGGGATTTTGGACCCCAACACACACACACACACACACGCCCCTCAGAGGCATGTTTTTCAGGTTGCCAGATCCAGGGCTCGAACTGTGCAGTCAGCCATGTGGGATACAGCTACCTTGACCTCCACATCATCTGCTGGCCCCAAATGACAGGTTTTAAGCACAGAGTTTCAGGCACAATGGAAGATGAGGTTTAAAACATAATCCTGGGGCTAGGAGGAGGCATGGTGGTTAATGGTGCTGGACTCCCACATGGCCAACTCTGGTTCGAGTCCCGGACCTAGCGGCTTGCTTTCCCACTTTCTCTCTCTCTTACTCTGTCCCTCTCTGACAAAAATAAAAATAAATAAATAAAATAATTATTGGGACCAGCAGGTGGCATGGTGGTTAAGGCGCTGGACACTCCCACATGGCTGACCAGGGTTCGAGTCCTGAATCTGGTGGCTTGCTTTCTCATTTCCTCTCTCTCTCACTCTCACCCTGTCTCTCTCTGGTCAAATTAGAAAAAAAAAAAAAAGAAAGAAAGAAAGAAAAAGAAAAAGAATGAATAAATAAAATAATGATTTAAAAAAAATAATGATTTAAAAAAAAATCCCAGCCCTCGAAGAGTTTAAATAATCTAGGGGACAAGACATACATCACATAGTAGAACAAAGACTGGAGTTTCCTTTTTTCTTTTTTAAGAGTTATTTTATTTAACTTTATTTATTTGTTTGTTTTAATTTGACCAGAAATGGACAAAGTGAGTGAGAGAGGGGGTGGGGGTGGGGGGGTGAGAAAGCAAGCCGCCAGGTCTGGGACTCAAACCACGACCAGCCATGTGGAAATCCAGCACCCTTAACCACCATGCCACCTGCTGGCCCACTTTTTTTTTAAGAGAGATTTTGTTATAGGGCGCATGTGCTTGCTGGATGGTCACATCAGGCATGCATGAACACATGCCCAGCATGAGGGTTTTTAATTTTTTTTAAGAGATTTTTGCTATAGGGCACGTGTACTCTCCAGAAAGACACAGAGAGACAGAAAGCGAGAAATAACCTCCCGGGGGGGATGGCCACGCCGCAATCCCTTCTCCTCCATTCTTGTCTCAGGATCTTGGGCACGCACACACACGCACCCAGTATGAGTTTAAGCCACCGGGTCCAGGACTCGAACCGCGGTCAACTACATGGAAGTCCAGTGACATAGCCCTTACGTTAACTGCTGGTCCCAAATAATTATTTTATTTTAACTTTACATATTTTTAAAATTTGACCAGAGAGGGGGACCAGCTGTTAGCGTAATGGCTATGTTGCTGGACTCCCACGTAGTCGACTGCGGTTCACGTCCCGGACCCGGTGGCTTAAAACATTTTGCCGGACGAATAGAGGAGAAGGGATGGCAGCGTGGCCATCCCCCCTGGGGGGGTGATTTCTCGCTTTCTGTCTCTATGTCTCTCTCTGTCTGTCTGGCGAGTGCACGCGCCCTATAGCTAAAACCTCTCAAAAAAAAGAAAAAATTGAACAGAGAGGGACAGAGTGAGAGAGAGAGAGTGAGAGAGAGAAAGAGAAAGTGAGAAAGCAAGCCACCAGGTCCAGTACTTGAACCATAGTTAGCCATTTGGTAGTCCAACACCCTTAACCATTATGCCATCTGCCAGCCCCTCTTGTAATTTTTTTTTTTTTTGAGAGTTTTTGCTATAGGGCGCATGCACACGCCAGACAGAGAGACAGAGAGACAGAAAGCAAGAAATCACTCCCCAGGGAGGATGGCCACGCCACAATCCCTTCTCCATTCTCCTCTCGGGATCTTGGGCACACATACACACGCGCCCGGCATGAGTTTAAGCCACTAGGTCCGGCACTTGAAACACGATCGACTACATGGGAGTCCAGCGACATAGCCATTACGCCAACTGCTGGTCCCCTACCTGGCGTGAGTGTTAAGCTGCCGGGTCAAGACTCAAAATGCAGTCAACTACGTGGGAGTACAACGACATAACCATTACACTACCTGCTGCCCCCCCCCCTTTCTTTTGGAGCGGTTTTTTTCTACAGGGCATGTGCGCTTTTCATAAAGACAGAGAAAGAAAGCAAGAAATCACCCCCCCCAGGGGGGATGGCTACACTGCAATCCCTTCTCCTCCATTCTTCTCTCTGAATCTTGGGTACACACATGCACTTGGCATGAGTTTAAACCACCAGTCCGGGACTAGAATCACAGTCGGCTACATGGGAGTCCAGAGACAGAGCCATCACACCAACTGCTGGTCCCATCTTTTCTTTTTCTTAGAGAAATTTTTGCTATAGGCTGTATGCACCAAGAGAGAGAGAAAGTGAGAAATCACCTCCCCAGGGGGGTGGCCATGCCATAGTCCCTTCTCTTCCATTCTCCTCTTGGGACCTTGGGCATGTATGCACATGCGCCCGGTGCAAGTTTTAAGCTGCCCGGTGCAGGAGCGGAACCACAATCGATTACATGGGAGTCCAGCAATGTAATATTATGCCCCCTGAGGGGGTTGGCCATGCCGCAATCCCTTTCCCTCCATTCTTCCAGGATCCTAGGCACACACTCACACATGTCTGGCATCAGTTTCAAGCTGCCAGGTCTGAGACTCAACCCGATTAGCCATGTGGGAGTCCAGTGACATAACTGCTATGCCATCTGCTGGCTCCAAGGCTGGAGTTTTTAATTATGTTACAAAGAACTGCCACTAGCCATATGTGACTACCAAACATTTGAAATGAAGCCAGTACCACATGCTGAAATGAAATTTTGGATATACTGAGTTAAATAAAAAATATTCATTATTATTTTAATTTTAAAAAATGTGGTTACTGAGGACCAGCAAATAGCATAGTAGTTAAGTTTCAAGCCAATGGGTCTGGGTCTCGAACTACAGTCAACTATGTGGGAGTCCAGCACCTTAACCACCAGGCCAACTGCTGTGCTCCCATTCTTTTCTTTTTTTAATAATTATTTTATTTTATTCATTCATTTATTTTTTAGTTTGACCAGAGAGAGACAGTGGGTGAGAGTGAAAGAGAGGAAGTGAGAAAGCAAGCCACCAGATTCAGGACTTGAACCCTGGTCAGCCATGTGGGAGTGTCCAGCGCCTTAACCACCACACCACCTGCTGGTCCCTTTTTTTTTTTAAAATAATTATTTATTTTCCCCCCATTCTTTTTAACAGTATTTATTCCTTTCAGCCAGATATAGTAACACGTGACTCTCGTAGTCTGCTGGCTGGCTTATACTGAATGTGGTAAATTGTCAAAAAAGCTTCTTGAAGAAGGTATAATTTATGTTCTAGCTGCCTGTGTTTTCCCTGCTAACCAGCTCCAATACTCTCTGTTTCCATCACATCGTACAACTTGTCAGAACTTGCTCAGCAGATTTGTTTTTTTCTTTCTTTCTTAAAAATTATTCTATTTAACCTTATTTATTCCTTTATTCATTAGTTTATTTCAGTTTGACCAGAGAAGGAAAGAGAGAGACAGAGAAAG